TGCTAGGCCCATTTGAGGCAGAGGTAGCACATTTCTAGTGGCACTGCCATGCCCGGATGTGACAGTAGGTACAGTTGAAGAGAAGGTAGACAGGATTGGGATTTTGTCAGAGGAAGCCAGTAGGACAAGAGAAGCCCAGGTGGAAGAGGCCAGGCTGGGGCTTTGGATCCTTGTCCTTGGGAGAATCCAGACTCTGCTACTTTAGTTTTGAGATGTTGGCTTCTGAGCCTCAGTTTCTGCATTCATAGAGTACTCATTCCACTTCCAAGGTTTTAGTGAGGATTATATTCATCTCCTGTTTGGGCTTAGCCTGAACCAATTCCTGCTATGAACCACTTCCTGCTGTCAGTTTAGGGTCTGGGCATCAGCAGTTATTCCAAAGCTGATGACTTTGCCTGGTCCAGGCGCGGTTGACCTGTCCCTGCTGTAACACCCGCAAGAAGGATGCAGTCCTTACCAAGTGCTTCCACGTTTTCTGCTTCGAGTGCGTGCGGGGCCGCTATGAGGCCCGCCAGAGGAAGTGCCCCAAGTGCAACGCAGCTTTTGGTGCCCATGACTTCCACCGTGTCTACATCAGCTGAACCTGAATCTCAGGGGACTTTGGAACACCCGTGGACCCTGGGGGCTGTGCCCCCAGCCCTTCCCCACCCAGGTGCAGTGGCCCCACCCTTCATTCCAGACCCCATGGGCCCAGCCCCTGCCCACCTAGTTGGTTTAGGGTCCTGGTGCATGCTATGGGAGTGGGATCAACTAGGCTCAGTTCCATCTTCTCCTGAAGGTCTGACCTGTAGCCTAGGGGGTGCTCCCATGAGGCTCAGAACACTCAACTGAGCTTCCCAGAAGCTGGCCCTAACCCTGTTCCTGCTTCTCCTTGGACTCATCCTAACCCAAAGGGGGATGTTCCCCAGGCTTTGACCACCCACCAAGAGGAGGCTCACCGTCTACCTACACACCCACAATAAGGACCAGAGATGGGCCAATCCTCAGCCCCTTGCTTGAGACTAGGACATAGGCCCCAGAGAGACTTTCTTCACCTATCAACCCCTAGCCTGGGCAGGGCTTTTGTCCTTCCTGTGGAGTTCTCTGGATACTGGTCTGGCTCTTGTGCCACAGGCTGAAGCTACCCCTGGGCAACTACCCTCTTCCTCTAGGAAGCTCTACAGTTGCTGCAGTCACTGCCCTCATCTTGGGAGTGCTGAACCAAGATCATCAATTTCTATTCTAATCAAGCCCTTCCCAATCTACTTGTCTCCCAGCCCACTTACCCCCACCCCAGGCATCCATCCCATGGCTCCACTGGGTCCTTGGCTCTAACTGTGCTTTCATCCTGGTGGCCTTAAATGCAATGGAGTTGAAACTTCCCAGAGGGGAAGGGATAGACCAGCCCCAGCCACTGGGCCAACTTCCAATCATTCCAGGTAGAAAAGCTTTGCCCAAAACACTCTGTGACAGCCTGTATACAGGATGCATCCATACTGTCTGCCCAGGTACACTCTGTGGGCTGTGACAGCACCCAGAGGGGCCTGGGAGGTGGAGCTGCTGACAGGTGCAGGGACCTATTTGGTTGCAGCCGTTGCTCTAGAGATGTCTTATATAGGCTGTTACTTGTTATGAATAAACGTCCAGCCCTCGGCCTACAGTCAGTAGCCAGACCTCTTGCCCCAAACGTAGTCCATTTTTAGCTGCTACTTGTTGGGCATCTCCCTGACTTGCTTTGGACCTGGGGAGGGAAGGGCAGCTCTTATATGAGAGCCCATTTCTGCCCACCCCGAAGGCTGTTATGCTTAGGCATAACAGCAGCCAGGGATCCCAACTGTGCCTTGGCGGGGCGCAGCTCTAGGTTACTCCAGTCAATCAGATACTGCTCTTATTGGGAGGCTGCCGGCCCTTTGAGGTCCGTACTGGTCCCGCCTCCGGCAGTCATTGGCCATTAGGATGCTGGGAGGTCTCGAGCTGCATCTTGGGAAATGAAGTCCCATGTTCTTACCTAGCAAGAATATTCTAGACGCAAGGAGAGAACCAGGTTGTTCCGCCCAAAGGTTGAACATGAGCCCAAATCTGCTGGCTGTCCCTCCATGGCTTCACCCGTCCCTCCCCTATGGACGCACAGATCGGGACACATCAGCAGGGTGACTTCCTTCATTGCAACCTGCTTGGGCCGCTGACCGGGTCCTCGGGGTTACCCAGCATTGTTTCTGGGTACAGCTCGCTGTCTGTCTCTCGGGCGGGGCCCTTACAGGTCTGGAGCCAAGGCCGGTGCTGAGTGGAGTTGGGGTTGGTTCCGGAGTAGCAGTCCCAGCCATGGCTATGGTTGCGGTTGCGCCTTCTCGGGACCTGGCAGCCTTGCCAGCCAACGTGCCTTCGCGGGGATTCGCGCCCTTGTCGGCTTTCGGAGTCCACCTGGGGCTTAGAGTTTCGTGGGGGCCACAGTGGCCGAACCAAATTGGACTGGAGACGGACATGCGGGCTACGAAGATTTCAGGTGTGGGGCTGGTAGCGATGGGCATACTCGCTGAGGCACGGGCCGCGGCTGGCGATGACATCGGGCCGCCGAGGAAGTGTCCCAGGCCGGTGTGCAGTGGGGCGGGGCGGGGATGAAGGGCTCAGGGTATTACATCATAGAGATGCGGGCATCTGCGCTGGGGGAGAGGACCAGCATCGGAGAGGAGCCTGTTGCCTGGGCGCAGGTGGAGACCAGCCTGTCTTTTGCGAGCACGATCCTCTCAGGAGTCACCTCCGCTTGGGCGCCTTAAGTAAAATCAAGTAACTAAATATTATCTCTAGATATTTTCCCTAAAAGCTAGTCTCCATATTGGAAGGAAGTGCCAAAAACTTCATACCTAAATAGTAAAGTAGGACTCAAAGCACTTTCTCAAGTTCAAACCAAAGGGAATGGTCCTAGAATCTCACTGTGAGGAGAACGCATTGATGGCGGTGGCAGAAACTCTCAATAAGCCATAATTTATCATGAGCGTGCCAGGTGCCGGCAGAGTCTGTCTTAATGGCTAGTCTGGTCTTTCTATCCCGAGACTTGACCAGCTTACTACTGGCAGTAGCTCCCCTAGTCTCAGTGACTGTGGTACCTAGGGATGGGAAGGCCAGAACTCCTCTTTGGCCAACCCTGACTTTGGCTGTTCTTTCCTGAGTGAACAGATGGCATCAGTGATGGACTAGGGCTACTACCTGCAATTGGCCAGTAGAGCATTTAAAATGGACCACTCCCAGAGTTTCCCTTGGGGCTTGTGACACTGCACTTGCCTGGGTTTCCTCCTACTCATAGTCTTTTGTTGGTCCTCTTTCTCCACCCCTAAACTAGACTCTCATTTCTGTTTTGCTACTCTCCCTGCGTGTATTTATCCATGGCCATGACTACAGTAGAGCTATTAAGACCACCAAATTTTGTTCCTGAGCCTGAAAATAACCATTGTTCATTGGGTGGGAGGGATTATGTCATTCTCAATATCCCACTAGCACACCTTCCCTAGTCACCTCAAACAAGTACTCCGCTGTGGCCTCTGCTCTCTAATTTTGTGTTCCTTAATTCCCACTCTGTTTTAAGTTCATATTCAACCGTGTGTGCCCTCTATTGCCCATCCCACTCCTGGCATCTATACATTTGATTTCCTGTTCCTGAGACTGCCATCTTTCAGGTCACTTCTTCTAGTATTATCTGGCCCTCTACTGTGGCAGGCACCATCTGTGGGTCCACAGTCACTTTTGCCATCTCTGAACCAGAGTGTTTTAAGTCACTGTGCTCCAATTCCTGCTCTCTCCTTGGAGTTCCCTCACCTTACTGAGGACTCCAGTGCTGAGACTTGTTCTGATATGCCTCAGTGTCCCCAGTGCTGGGAACCAACAGAATATGGAGTCTTCATTAACCGCCCCTGTATGTAGGCAAGTCGTTCCACCTATCCCTTCCTACCCTGCCTACTTTCCAGGTGAGAGGAAGAGCCTGCCCTGGGGTCTGGGTCAGAGTGGCACCTGTAGGGAGACACTTCCCTGCCTAGGGCAAGAGTCCCCTGGTGGACAGAGGCAGGTGACAGGCTAGCACCCGACTACAGGCAGCCACTCAGTGGCCATAACCAGGCTCAGGAGATACAGCACAGAAGTAAACCTGGCATTGAGAATTCCTTGGAGCAGCCCCAGCTGGCCCAGACAGTGTGGAGCCCAGGCCAGGCCCAGGCAGGCCCAGCCATAGGAGGAAAGGCTTGGCTGGGTGCAGAGCCACTCAAATTCCTGGCCATTCTGGTTTCACTTGCTGACTTTGCTGTGGATCTTGAGCAAGCTTAGCTGCCTTTCCTTGAGCCTCAGCTTTCCATATGATGAGGATCTATGAGCTGACATCCTGGGAGTGAGATGACAAACCAGAGCTCCACCCACCTCTCCTCAGGGTCTAGGAAGCCCCAGTCCAGAGGAGGGATTGAGCCAGGCCAGGACCCAAGGGAACCAGGAATAGTAGCTGGAACTAGATCCAGAGCAGCTTTTCCCAGTGGCACCCTGGGGAGAGTGTGAGTATTACAGCTAGAGAGGCCTCCCTGGGCTGCATAGCTGGGCATGAGCTGGCCAGTGCCAGAGTCACCATGCAGCCATCTAGCAGTCAGCATGCCATCGTGCTATTGAAGCCAGGTGCTGAAAAAAGCTTTTTGGTTTTGCCACCAGTTGATCAGATTCCACCACCACCCCTGAGGTATCCCCTCCTCTCCTATTAAGGGTATGGATTTAATTTACTTTTTTCTTTCAGTGCTGGGGATGGAACCCAGGCCCTTGCACAGGATAGACAAGCACACTACTACTGAGCTACACCCCAGCTCAGCAGGATTTTTACATTTCTTAAACCCCACTGGACAGGCATTTTAGACCTCCTAGGAAAAGGCTAGGCCTGGGGCTAGACTGAGCTTTGTCACTTATGAGCCCTGGCTCAGAGAGAAGACAAGCTCTTTGAACTTGCTTTAGGCTGAATGAGAAGACAAAAAAAAAAAAAAAAAAAAAAAAAACACTGGGAAATCTTATTCCCTTTATTCTCTTCAACTAATCAACATGACCACCAGTGACACAACACTGTTATTGACACACAACACTCAAAAGTGGGGCCTCTCTTCACAGGGACAAGTCAGGTGAGTGGGGCTTCCCTCATGGGGGCAAATGAGTCTGGGAGCTGCTCACCTCAGGGTGGAGGTCATGGAGCCCCACCTCTTGGTTGTGATGGTTTCAAGTTCCCCCCTCTTCAGGATTCATGCCTAGTTCTTTTGAGTTCCCATCTGACCTCCATAGCCATAGCAGTTTCAAGTTTCACCCTAAGCTCAGATCAGTTTCTAGACCCTCCCTTCTGCTTTCACCAATGACTCCTGGCCTCTGGCTGATGGAGTCCTCCACTAGGGCACTTCTGAGGGTTCTGGGGCTGGCATGGAGTTGGATAAGAGACTATATATGACTATATTATGCCTTCCAGACTGTTCTGGTGGGCAGGTGTCTGGATCCCTGGCCCTGTCTGAGCTAGTCAGGACTCTGACACTGCCACCTCCCTGCTTAGTTGGCTCCAGGAGGGATGAACCTGGCTAAAGAAGTTTGGGAAGGTGGGCAAGAGAGAACAGGCCACACCCAGAGGTCTCTGACTCTGCCCCTTTCCTACTGGGAAGCCCTAGACTCCACCAGCAGTGTCCATATCATCCATTCAGTACCTGAGCCAAGACCCTTAGCCTTCACCTGTCCCCACAACATGCGAGCATCCTACTATGTATGCTACACCCTAGTCCTCAATAGGCTACAGCTGACCTTGACTAAGACCACCTCCCCCAAAAGCTGTTCCCCAGCACTCTTCTGAGGACAGATTCTCAGACCTGTGTCTGAGAGAATCTGCTCCTAGCTTTAAGGAGTTTGTCTCTACAACTGAAGTTTCTGCTACCATCTTAGAAGGGAACAAATCGGCTTAGACTTGGAGGACTAATCTCCTCTGAGTCTTATAGGGACACCCCTTCATGGACATTTCTGACAATAGAGATTTGCAGTCAGGCTCCTCAGTGGACCTCTCCTTCCTGGCACTTGGGTGGGGTGGGGCTTAATGCGGAGGTTAACAAGGCCCTCTCACAATTATATAAGACCTGCTTTTCCTTTCCCGCAGCAGGCCTGGTCTTTTTCTCCCACAATGTTCTAGATTTTGATCCTTTTAGAATTGAGGGTTATCCCTTTGTGGACAGGATAGATGAGGGTGAAGGGTTTTCACCTTTTGAACTTACAGATAATGAGATTAAAGGTCTCTTTCACAGCTTTGTAGGAATCCAGGTAGCGCCTCTCTGGGCATGTGACTCCTGAAGAGCCACCTCACCTCTCAGTCCTCCTACTCCAGGACAGTGCATTGCTGGGGCCAGGGGGCACTTCCTTTCCAACTGAGCACTAAGCAGAGTCCTCCCCATCTTTAAAGGTTTCCAGGGTTATGGGGGGATCCTTGTTGCAGATGCTTCTTTTCAGAGTCTTCTCTCTCTAACCATTTTATAGGGCACCCATCTCTCCCCATCACACAGCCCCAGTCACATAAGCAGGTTTGGCTGGGTTTATGAAGTATAGCTGTGCAGTGTGTGAGGAGAAGTGAGCAGCCTGGTAGAAGGTTTCTCATCCTTCCATTTCCCTCCAGTGGTTTCTAGCTAAGGAGAGAGGAGCCAAGGGGGTTGGAATCTTCCCTTCCAAAGGCCAAGATCACATCAGAGGGCTCCAGGTACCAGGTGAGGAAGGTGGTCGGACTTCTGTAGACTTTTTCGGGACTTCTGGTCCAGTCTGTGGGGAATCTGGGCACCCACCACCGCACATGGGCTGGCTCATCCTGTGGACAGCCTTGCCACTGGCTCACATGAAAGGCTGAGGTTTAAAATCAGGTTGCTGGCTAATCAAAGCTTTCTATTCTGTTGTCTTGCCATCCCTTGTCGCCACAGAGAACCCTCAAGTGGCTCTCGCTGACTCAGTCTAGGGAGGACAACCACATACAAGTCTTGAGTCTCTGAAGGGATTTATTCTTTGGAGGTCGACTAGCAGCGGTTCTCCCTCTCCACTGAGGACAGAATTTGAGGAAATGAGCTGCCATTGCAGCAAGACTGGGGGCAGTTAGATTTCAGGAAAAATCTCCTGACCGTGAGACCTGAGAATGTGGCAGAGGCCCCCACCAATCCTGGAGGCCTCTTGGAGTAGACTTCCCAGCTGGGCTGGGGAAAGTGGTCCTGCCTGGCTCAGGAAGAACCTTGGCTGGGATCTGCTTGAATTTACAGTTTAACAAGTTCCTGGAAAGGGGAGAATCTGGCCTGGAGTTTGCTGGGTTCCATTTGAACAGTTTCTCCACCTTGCCTCCCTCCAAGCAATCTAACAGAAATTCCCCCTAATTTTTGTGGTGGTTTCCTGTATTCTTACACTCCAAGTATTTTATGTACCCCAAACTTCAGCTTTTAAAAAGGCTTGACATAATTTTTCTCCCTCATTTTTGGGTTCATGTTTACAGATTCCATGGGCCTCTTCCCCTAACCTACAATTCATCTAAGATTGGCCTTGTACCCCCAGTGAAACAAGCTACACCTTTCTCTCCCCGGTTTCTGTGTCTTATCTTCTCTGTGGGTTCAAAAGCTTATTTTCTCCTGTTTTTTTTTTTTTTCTTCCTTTTTCAGTTCCAGACCATTCTCCCACACTACTCCCCAGCTGAGAATTTTCTCAGTCTAACGGTCCAAGGCTGCTGGGAGAGGGGCTCCTCCCATTCGCCGGTGGGAGAGGACACTGCAGAATCAGCACTGTGGGAGGTGTTTCCTGTACCTTTTGAGGGTCACCATCCCAAGGCAATGCCATGCCGAGTTCCCTGTTCTTCCCTGACCCTATAGGATTTTGATACAGTTTTATGGGGTTGTCTAGAGACATATTGGGACCTCTTCCTACAATTAATAGGGCTTTTATCCACTAAGGTTTATAGGGTTTTTCTGCTACAGACTTAAAGGGCTTTTTTTTTCCTACATATTTATAGGGTTTCTAACCCAACAGTTTTTCTCTACTGCATTATAAGTGGCTCCCACCAACAATTTTATAGGGTTTCTTATCACTGATGTAAAAGCACTATTTTTCCCAGGGTTCTTTATCCTCCACTTTGCTACAATCTGATAGGGTTGTCCTCCTTTCCCCACATGATTTTTTGGGGGAGCCAGTTCCTCTCAGGAGAGAGAGGCCCCTGGTCTCCACACCTATTTCACAGGGAGACACCTGGATGGCAGCTTCTATGGAGAAGGAGGGCTGCAACTTCTGTGAAGCCATCTCCACACTCAGGGCACAAATAGGGCTTTTCTTCCAAGAGGGTTTTGGGGCTCTCTCCTTCCCTGTGGCTGCTGCTCCCTGTGGGGGTGGGAGCCTCTCCCTCACCACCTTGGCTCCCTTGGCTCGTGGACAGGGTGGCTGGTTCTGGCAGGGGGTCCTCAGGTCTGGGGGACTTTTCTTGGGTGTGGGTTTCCTGGTGTCGGATGAGGGCCAGGCGATCCAGGAAGGAGGCCCCACAATCAGAGCAGCTGTAGGGTCTGGCCCCCAGGGGGCTCCTGAGGTGCTCCAGGAGGACGGAAGAACTCTTCCCTGGCTCAGGACTCTTCTGGGATTTCCTGCCTGCGTGGACCTTCTGGTGTAGCAGCAACTCAGAGCTGAGGCCAAAACTTTTTTTGCATTCAGGGCATTTAAAGGGCTTGCCACTCAAGAAGGGACTGGGCCCTGCCCCTTCCCCTAAGCCAATCCTATAATCCGGAAAGAGAAAAGGCTTTTCATTGCCATGGGTGAGCTGATGTTGGAGGAGCACAGCGCGATCCAGGAAGCTTTCTCCACAGTGGGAACAAATGTAGGACTTAGAGGAGAGCAGCCCCAACCTTTGGCTTAAGCTCTCCTGACCTTCAGGCGTTTTAAGGGGCTGTCCTGGGGGGTCAGCTCTGCCCTCAGCAGCACCTGGGTAGGAATTCCCCCCAAAAGGGAGCCTCGGGGGACGGAATTGAGGTGTTTTGGGTGCTGGGTGTGCAATGAGACCGTCTGCATTTTTGTAGGGGTTTTCTCCAATATGGATCCTCTGATGCTGCATAAAGATGCCCTCATCGTTGAAGCCCTTTCCGCAGACCAAACACTTGTGGGGTTTGGCTCCAGGGGGCGGGGTCAGCAGGGCAGAATCCCCCAACCCCAGCAGGGTGTCACCCTGAGCTCTTCTGGCAGGGGTCTTGCCCCTCTCGTGGATCACCCGGTGCTGCTCCAGCTCATGAGCCTCCAGGAAGGCCTTCCCGCAGTCGGAACACACGAAAAGGTTTTCATCCATGTGGGTGCGGACGTGCGTGATGAGGTTTGAGCTCTGGCTGAAGCTCTTGCCGCACTCGGGGCACTTATAAGGCTTCTCGCCCGTGTGGGTGCGTCGGTGCTGGATGAGGTGCGAGCTGCGGATGAAGCTCTTGCCGCAGTCGGAGCACTTGTAGGGCTTCTCACCGGTGTGGATGCGCTGGTGGCGGATGAGGGTGGAGCTCATGATGAAGCTCTTGCCACAGTCGGCGCAGATGTAGGGCCGCTCCCCGCGGTGGATGCGCTGGTGGTTGATGAGGTTGGAGCTGACGCTAAAGCTCTTGCCGCACTCGGGGCATTTGTAGGGCCGCTCGCCCGTGTGCGTGCGCTGGTGCCGCAGCAGCGTAGCACTCAGGGTGAAGGTCTTGCCGCACACCGGGCACTTGAAGGGGTCCTCGCGCAGGTGAGTCCGCTGGTGCTTGATGAGGGTGGAGCTGTGGCCGAAGCTCTTGCCGCACTCCAGGCACTCGTAGGGCTTCTCGCCGGTGTGCGTGCGCTGGTGCTGGGTCAGCTCCGAGCTCTGGATGAAGCTCTTGCCGCACTCGGTACAGCGGTAGGGCTTCTCCCCGGCGTGGATCTTCTGGTGCTTGAGGAGGTTGTGGTTCTGGCCGAAGCGCTTGCCGCACTCGGGGCACTTGTAGGGCTTCTCGCCGGTGTGGGTGGCCTGGTGCTGGATGAGGTCCGAGCTGCGGTAGAAAGCCCGCCGGCACTCGCCGCACTTGTAGGGCTTCTCACCAGTGTGGGATCGCTGGTGCTTGATGAGGTTGGTGCTCTGGGTGAAGGCCTTCTCGCACTCGGTGCACTTGTAGGGCTTCTCGCCCGTGTGGGTGCGCTGGTGCTGCACCAGGTTGGAGCTCCAGCTGAAGCACTTGCCGCAGTCGGGGCACTTGTAGGGCTTCTCTCCTGTGTGCGTGCGCTGGTGCTGCACCAGGTGCGAGCTCTGTGTGAAGCTCTTGCCACACTCAGAGCAGGTGTTAGGCCGCTCGCCCGTGTGGATGCGCTGGTGCCGCAGCAGCTTGGACCACTGGCTAAAGCTTTTGCCACATTCGTTGCAAATGTAGGGCTTCTCAGCTCCAGAGGGACGACCCTGCACCAGGTCCCGCAGACTAGGCTCGTTGGTGGGGACCACCTGGGGGCTGTTCCAGGTGGTGAGGGTCCCCCACTGCCAACTGGCCTCACAGGTCTTGGTCCAGTCAGACGGGGTAGGGACTACCTCCGGGGCTGGGGTGTCCAGGGAGGTCTGGTGGTCCAAAGGGTTAGAGGGACCCAGTGAGGTGGGGGAGTCCTGGGGGTCTGAAGGATCCTGGGAAGGGCTCTCCAGGGGTATCTCTGGTGGGTCCTTGGATTCTGGACTCTGAGCTGGATCTCCCAAGATGACTTCCTCCCCAGAACTTTCCTGCTGAAGGCTCTCCTCTTCGTTCCCACTCTCCGCACCTACAGACAGAAAGGGAGTCTCCAGCCCCCATCTCCTTTCAGAACACAGGGTCTGTTTTCTTTTCCCTCCCATTTCCCTCAGAGTCTGGGTCCCTCCCTTGAACTGTGGCTATTGTCTTGTCTGGACCACAGTCCCTTCTTGTGCCCCTCACCTCTGTGAGCATCATTCAGGCTCTCTTCAGGACCCTGCAGATCCGGGCCCCACAGCACTGTCTCAGGCTCCATCCCAGAGCTCAGGACTTGGAGGGTTCCAGGGACCCTGGGGTGGGGGGAGGGAGAGATAGCACACATTGCAAGGTGATTTTGCTCTTTTCTTTACTCCCCCTTAGCCTCACTCCTCCTTATTCCTACTAATGTAAACTTCAGCATCCTACCACCTAATTTTTCCGGGCACCAGTTCTGTGGTCCCCTTTCTGCCGCAGGCCTGATTCTTGCTCCAGATCTTAAGATCACAATTAAGCAAGTAGCTGAATTTAAGAGTGCAATTAAAAACTCATCAGCCATAACCCTTTGAACCCAGACTGGGGGCTGGAAAAGTACCTGACTCCCACACCTCTGATGCCCAGAGGCTGGGGAACCTGTTATTTTGCGAATCAGAGGAAGCTCATTAAGACTCCAATTTTCCTCCCTAATGGGGCTGCTAATTGAGACCAATAAACTTTTCCCTTATGAGCCCCAGACTGAACTGAGGTTCACACTTAAAGGGTTAAAGTGAGAAGCCACCCCAATTTCCCAGAGGGGGAAAGAAGCCCTCCAAAATGACTGGGACACTTTTCCTTTTTCTAAGCACAGAAAGATCAGGTCAGAGGTTGGGGGAGGGGCGGTTTAAAATCAGGGGCTTCTGCAGGAGCCTCAAGAGAGAGACACAAAGAGAGAATGAACGAGTGTGTGGAGAACACCTGCAGAGGACTTGGTGTCTGCCAGAGTGTCCTCATTTCTTCCACCCAGTCCTCTCACAACCCCATGAGGGGTTGTCCATTTTACAGATTAGTAAAATCAACACAGGGGGAGACAGTCCCAAGGTCCCAGGCTGAGAAGTGGCAGAGCTTAGATCATAAATGCAAGTTTCTGTGTTTGCCCTGCCCCTGTCTCTGAGAGCATGAGGTGACCTTGGGAGTCATGTGAGAGTCATACTCGTGGGCTGCTGGCAGAAGACCAGTGACAAGGAAAGCTCAGATAGAGCCTGCTGGCTGCCCATGAGAGTGGGTTGGAGAAATTTCTGGGACCACAGTTTCCTTGGCTATAAAAGGACGGTTGAACCCAGTGACCAGGCCTTCCATCAATGAGCTGGAGACAATCCTGTAGGTCAAAGCCTTCTATTACTAGTCCTATCTTGGGCCCCCTTTATTCCTTTTGTTCTATTCTGATGCTTTATCACATGCCCAGGACAGTGCCTAGCACATAACAGATGTTCAATAAATGTTTTGTTGAATGAATGAAGATGAACGAATGAGCTAGACCTCCCTTGCTCCTGGAAAACCTGTTTGTTCCAATTCCTTTAAAGATCAGTTTGCAAGGTGATGGCAGTAAAGGAATTCAAGTTCACAGTAATCCCCCCTCCCAGGTTTCCCTTGACAACACAGCAGTTGTCATTCCCCACAGAGATGATTCCAGGATGGGAAACAGGACCACAGGAGCAAAGCGCTAGGAGGACTTCCTGTGACATCTACACCCTGATGGGAATCCCTGGGAAGGGCCTGGGCTTTGGTGGCTGTGTGGATGGGACTGTGTACACAGGGGCAATGGTGCAAAGCAGACATGGCAAGGACTCAAGAGGAGGGAGCCAAGAGGTGATTAAGGTGAAGCAAGAGTCTGCTGAACCCTGCCAAAGAGCAGTAAGAAGTTAGTTTTTAGGAAGTAAATTAATTTCTTCATCTCTGCATCCAATTAGGCTCTGAGAACCCCCATCCCCCACCTGTAACTGTCTTAGGGAGGTGGAAGCAGAGATCTCCTCTGCCTGGCTGTTCTGAGGAGGCCAGGGAGGGCTAAAGGCGACCTGCTGTGTTTGCTGAGGACAGGTAAGAGCTTCTGTACCTTGATGGCCTGAGAGAGGCAAACTCAGTGGTCCAGAGTATAGGGAAAGGGTTAATGAGCCGGCTGACATGGAATATGAAAGTGGGAAGATTGAGGGAGGCAAGTAGTGCTTGGAGCCAGCCCAGGCCCAGGAGCGCTAGCCTCGGACCTCGGACGGCCCCAGTGCGGAGGGCGCGGGGAGGAGGGGACCGCCTCCGGGAGAGGTGTGGGAGCGGCCCAGGGTGACCCTGACGTGGAGGCAGCGGGAACGTGGCCACCCGGGCCCCGGGGCCCCGGCCTCCCCCACCCCGTCCGCGCTAGGCCAGACCCTGGACTCGTGCTCCCCGGCACAGTGACCCTCTTTCCGGCTTCCAATCCCGAGTCTGGGCATCCTCCCCCTCCCCCGCCGGCACCCAGGGTTCCTGGCTCTCCCGCGGGCGCCGGGTTCCTTCCAGAGCTGCGGCTCTCGGCCGGCCCCCGGCCCCGCCGGGCCGAATTCCCTGTTCCCAGAATGCTCACGCCCTCCCCCTCCCCCACCGCCAGACCCTCGCGCTCTTCCCAGAATCCTCCAGCCCTCCGCGGCCCCCTGCCCGGGCCCCCACCCCTGCCCCAGGCTGACGAGGGCCAGGCGGGGGGCTCGGGCCCAGTCGCGGGGCCCCCGCCTCCCGGGCCCCATTGTTCCCCGGTGGCCATCCCGGGCCCTCCAGGCCACCCCCTAGGAACCCAGGCGTCCCCAACTCACGGCTCTGGGGTCTGGGAAAAGCCGGAAGGCAGACTCCAGCCCCAGGGGACTTAACCCCTTCAATGCCCTGCCTCGGGGGTCGGGCTAGACGCCGAGGACTCTGGGGTCCTTCTCAAGGGGTGATTCCAGGCTGAGGACCCAGGGACCAGTTCAGGGTGACTGGGACGGAGCAGGAAGTGACCCCAGCTTCCCGGGCCCCTCTAGCCTGGAGTCAGAGCATCAGCTCTATGGGATTTAACCCTTTGCCTCCCACAGCCTGGGAAAAAGAAAAGGGGATGGCAGGAGCAGGGAGGTGGCTGAGAGGACACCCCTCTCCCTGTCTCAAATGGAAGCAGGCGAGTCGGGCGGCTGGGGGAAACCCAGGTGCCAGGGAGGGTCTCTGGATTTCTGGCCATTCTCCATCCTGCCAGAGCAGGGGTTTCGCCAGCCTTGCCAGTTAAGATTTGGCGGCTGCTAGTCCCCTGGGGCCGGTCTTTGTTTGGACTCACCCTGGGATGGGGCTGGAATGCCTGGGTTCTGGGGTGGGAGCAGAGCCTGGCAGGATAGAACGGAGGGAGAACCCGCTACAAACCAAAAAGAGCTTAAATTAAATAAATCGTGGCTAAAGAATGGGGACAGCGAGCCTGTGCTGCTGCTTTCCTCTATCAGCTCTCCTTAGAAGAGGAAACTGAGGTCCACAGTGTCAGAATTTGGAAAGAGTTCCCCAGGAAAAGGAGAGCAATTACCCTTCCCAGCAGCTTAAGGGGCACTCTGCTCCCAGCAGGAGAAAACTTCAAAACCTCAGGAACATTGGTGACCTTCTAAAGCAGAGGTTATCTGAGCTCCCAATTTTTACTATCTTTATCTCATTCCTTCTTCAGTACAGTGGGGCAGAACTGCATATTTCTGTTTCTCAAGTGAGGAAACCAAGGTGTGAAAAGTGAAGCAACATGCTTCAGGGCACATTCTTTGAACACAGGGGCAGGAGAATTTAGAGTGGAATGAGACCCAGGTTTTCTACCCTCAAGAAGTTTGATAATAGCCAGGCAGGGTGACACATGCCTGCAATTCCAGCTACTCTGCAGGCTGAATCAGGAGGATGTCAAGTTCAAGGCCAACCTGGGCAACTTAGTGAGACCCGGTCTCAAAATAAAATTTAAAAAAAGGGCTAGGAATGTAGCTCAGTGGTAGAACACTTACCTAACATGTGGGAGGCCCTGAGTTCAATCCCTAGCACAACCAGGAAAAAAAAAAAAAAGACTATTAGAGACACAAAGGAATATCACAGAATGTGCAAAGGGTTATCTACCCAGGGATGTGTAGGAGCTAGGAATGGGACAAACTAAATGTCAGATATTGTTAAAGAATGAAGTTTCGGGGCTGGGGATGTGTCTCAAGCGGTAGCATGCTCGCCTGGCATGCGTGCGGCCCGGGTTCGATCCTCAGCACCACATACAAACAAAGATGTTGTGTCCGCCGAAAACTAAAAAAAAAAAAAGAATGAAGTTTCATCTGGGATTCAGACTGTGTAGCCACCAGGAAAAGAGGTCCAGACCAGCCCTACCTCTTCTTGCTTCTCAGGGCCATCTCCTTTTACTTTCGCTCTCCAGGCACATCTGCCCCTTGTCCCTGGCTGCTACCATCTTCAACTCCTGACTCTCACTTTAGGGCCTTTGCCCCTCCTTAATCTGTTCTTTTTCTTTCAGCCCACAACAGAATATTTCTGTGTTCTCTGTCTACCTCTATTTGTCCCTCCACATACCCTCATCACCTGATGTCACTCCTCCTGGGAAGGGGCTTTATCTCTTGCATACACTATTGTGTCTCTAATACACAAACAGTGATTGGCAGGTAGCCCCTGGGGCAGTGATGTTACAGGAAAGCTTTACCTTGGAGGCTCACCAAAGAGTTTAATCTGGCTTACAATTTTTTGTTTGATATTTTAACTGAATTTTATTGCCACACTTAAAAATCAGTACACAGAAGCCCAGCACAGTGTCACACATCTGTAGTCCCAGCTCCTGGGGAGGCTGAGTCAGGAAATTGCTTGAGCCCAGGAGTTTAAAGGCCAGTCTAGGCAAGACTCCATCTCAAAAAATAAACAAATGAAAGGTGTGTTTCACATTAATATCTTAATTTGGGGCTTCTTTGGAAAATCTAAAGATGTGGCATTATGACCCAAATATTCACATGTCGAAAACTGACCTTAGCTGTGCCTGTAATCCTAACAACCAGGAGGCTAGGCAGGAGGATTGCGAATTTGAGGCCAGTCTCAGCAACTTAGCAAGACCCATCTCAAAAAAATAAAAAGGGCTGGGATATGTCTCAGTTGTTAAGAGTCCTGGGTTCAATCCATAAATAAATAAGTATATTAATAAGACAGACAGACTGGGGATATAGCTCAGTAGTAGAATGTCTCTGGGTTTAATATCCAGTCCTGAGGGTGGGATGGTGGGGGAATCTGTTCTTAGTGGGACAGTATCTTCTTTCTGTAAGGGGCACTGACATCCCAGGGTTTT